ATAATTTATTTGTGTCATTAGCAGGAGTAAGTGCACAGACTTAATATTTTACAGATGTAATTTTGTTTCTATCATCATAATACAAAAAGTATATGTACTTGTATGATATTACTGAAACTTGTGTCTTTATGCATGGTCATTAGTTATTGATGATGATGATGATGAAAAACAAAATACAATAGTTTATTGTATTGTGTTGTCCAAGTGTTATCTTTTATTGTGTTATTAAGTTATTCAAACTGTTTTTTTCAGAGAGTGCTGTGTCAACTCTGTGCCAGAACACCAATGCTCAGGCTGCTAAGGCAACTGCAAAGGGACGCAAATATAAATGGACAGATGTCAGCATCAGTGAGATGTACCGCTACATTGGGATCATATTTTACATGGCCATGGTAAAGTTGCCCTCCATCAGGGACTACTGGCGACAGAGCAGTATTTTCACAGTACCTTTTCCAGCTACAGTTATGCCAAGAGATAGATACCGGACAATTTCATGGAATGTGCACATGAGTCACCCAGATGCAGACAAAGAGAATGACAGAAAGAGGGGCACATCTGAACATGATCGTCTGTTCAGGGTTAAACCTCTTATGGAGACTATCCGTCATGCTTGCAATAAACGCATAAACGTTGTTTTCTCAAAAACACAATCACGTACATACATGATGCTCACGTATTATTACACAAATTTCAAGGCATGTCAAAACTTCTCCAAGGCCCCAAAACACCCTTGGACCCCAGAGGGTTAAGTGGTCAGTTTTTGTGTATTTTCAGTGTACGTACACATTAGTTCCTGAGTATCAACACAGGTTCCACACTTTATTTTAAGTGGGCAGTTTTTGTGTATTTTCAGTGCAAGTACACATTAGTTCCTGAGTATCAACACAGGTTCCACACTTTATTTTAAGTGGTCAGTTTTGTGTATTTTCAGTGTAAGTACACATTAGTTCCTGGGTATCAACACAGGTTCCACACTTTATATTAAGTGGTCAGTTTTTGTGTATTTTCAGTGTAAGTACACATAAGTTCCTGGGTATCAACACAGATTCCACACTTTATTTTAAGTGGTCAGTTTTTATGCATTTTCAGTGCAGGTACACATTAGTTCCTGAGTATCAACACAGGTTCCACACTTTATTTTAAGTGGTCAGTTTTTGTGTATTTTCAGTGTAAGTACACATTAGTTCCTGTGTATCAACACATGTTCCGGACCCTTTCTGTTAACACTTTACAATAAGGTTTCATTTGTTAATGTTAGTTAATTGCATTAGTTAACATGAACTAACAATATTCTACAGCATTTATTAAGCTTAGTTAATGTTAATCTCAGCATTTACTAATACATTTTTAAGATCAAAAGTTGTATCTGACAACCTTAGTTAATGTTCTGTGAATTAACATGAACAAGAACATTTTAACTAACATTAACTGAGATTAATACATGCTGTACAAATAGGGGTTTAACGGGACGTGTATTCATACCGAATGGGTAATGGGGCAAATTCCGGTAACACTTTATTTCGATAGTCCACTTTAGACATTCTATTAACAGTAAGTAACTTTGCAACTACATGTCAACTAGCAGTTAGTAGAGTATTAGTAGACTGTCTGCTTAATATCTTCTAACAATTTCTTTGTCAACTTATTCTACTAACCCTAAACCTACCCTAACAGTCTACTCTGAGAGTTAGTAGACATGTAGTTGCAAATTAATGAGAATTAGTTGACATGTAGTTGGCATGTAGTTACAAAGTTACTAGTAGTTATTAGAATGTCTAAAGTGGACTATCGAAATAAAGTGTAACCCAAATTCCAAATGGAAGTGATCATCCCTATGCCCTACTCCCTTGGAAGGGCAGAGCCCTTGAAGTGGGGACTTTGGAGTGAGCAGGGCAAATGTGCGTGCCATTATGAAGTCGTTTGGAATGCACTTGGCAAATACCTTGACTATTAAATGGTTTGAATATCCACAGTATCCATTGAATATGAAGTATCCGCACTCATACTCATATTTAAGCACATGGCAGAAGGCATGAACAATAATGCTTTACATGCGTAAAAACATAAACCTGCCCCCAAAAATTTCACAGAAACTGCAGCGTTGTTACAATTGTAGTTACAATAATGCAATTATGGTGTGTACTTACAAAAGTGTACTTACAAATGTAAGTTCACTAATGTAACTACAGATAGATCACGCAGGTACTTTAAATGTAAGTACAATGTAAATACAGGTAGATACAGCATAAGTACATTGTATCAAATGCTTAATTTGCCATGTAAGTACATAGTTGTTAAGGCCACTTAATATAAAGTGGGACCAACCTTTTTCAACCATTTAGCATTAAACATTTATTCAACGTTGTTTCAACGTTGAAACAACAATTGTCATTATTTCAACCATATTTCAACGTTGAAGGTTGGTCATGTGCCGGCTGGTTTTCAACCGTTCAGCATTAAACGTTGTATCAACGTTGCTTCAATGTTAAAACAACAACTGACCTTATTTCAACCATATTTCAACGTTGAAGGTCGGTCATGTGCCGGCTGAATTGCATCAACATTTATTAAGAACATTAAGAATGTTGGCTACCAACGTTTTTTCATTACAGCTTTGCAGTCGTTTTTGACGAATCTGCTGGAATAGGACGTAAAATAGCTCACATGCACGCGCACATGCCCAGTTAACACGATCCCCAGTTGATCCATAGCACTGGCAGCAGAAATCACACAACAAAACGAAATGTTATCATTTAATATTACAGGGGTCATATGACGTTGCTAAAAAGAACATTATTTTGTGTATTTGGTGTAATGCAATGTGTTTATGCGGTTTAAGGTTAAAAAAACACATTATTTTCCACATACTGTACATTATTGTTGCTCCTCTATGCCCCGCCTTTCTGAAACGCGTCGATTTTTACAAAGCTCATTGTTCTGAAAAGCGAGGTGTACGCTGATTTTTAGGTGTCGTCAATATGTCAGTTTTGTACGTTTAAATGCTGAAAATACGTAAGTATTTGTGCATTTACATGCTGAAAATATATCAGTATTGTACATTTTAGTGCCTGTAAAAAACGTAAAAGTAAATGTAAGTTTTATAGAACCACATTTTACGTAAAATACATACGAATTATCATGAGATCACATTGCACAAGAGCACCTGGAGATTTGGTTTGGTCCTCACACTGCACATAATGAGACCCATTAAATATAATTATACAAAAAAAATATTTAAGAATAGTGTTAATAATATTGCTGCACTTTATTTATTTAGTTTTTATTTTAATAAAATAAAGTGTGGTAATTCTATTATATTTAAAATAAAAAGGGAGTATTAAATTAAAATACAATTATTTTATAGTAAACTTAAAAATAAAATGCTAACATTTACTTTTTTTTTTTAATATATGGATTTTCATCATTTTAAATTCAGCAAGATTTTATTTTGGTGGGTTGCCGGCAAGTCAAGTAAAGTTTATTTGTACACCTTTATGTGTATAGTGCTATACAATACTGATTGTGTCAAAGCAGCTTTACAGTGTAAGATATATATGTATATATACAGTTAGTATATGCGCTGCCAACTGAAGTGCGTCAATGAATGAAATGTCAAAGTTTTGCATTGTGTTTTGAAAACAGCAGCAGATAGCCTAGATTTTTGCTTTCATTTCGAATAGAAATCTTATACAGTATTACAGTTTGTCGATCTAAAATGGTAATTGTGCATTAACAGCTGTAAACCATGTAGATACGCAAATGAGCGGTCTGAACTTATTTACACAGCACTTTTTTCTTTTTTTTCATTTTGGTCTCGCATGCGCACCTGCGTACCACTTATGTGCACCCCTGTATATAATTGTCAGGGTTTGCTTTGGGTTGTGTTGGTGTTCATGTCTTTTGCTTTGTATTCATGCTCTTAGTTTAGGTTCCTGGTTTGTCATGTGCTCCTTGCCCCTTATGTGATCATGTCATGTGATTCCCTGATTATGTTCTGATTGGTTATTTGGTTCATGTGTCATGTTCTCATTAGGTGCGTTCGACTTCATGCAGCACTGCGCAGACCAATCGGCGGCTGACTTGAAGCGGTGCATGCCGGTTAGAAATTTAGTCCGACTTGAACATGCGCCGACGCCACTTCACTGTCACGTGTGGCATCAAAGTACCGCGATAGCGTTTCGAGAGCAGCCGGCTGACTCAGCTGGTGCAGCTTTTTCAGAGCGACTGCAGGAGTGCTGATGACGACACAGCTGTTTCACGATATTAGTATTTAAATAGTATATATTAACGTTGAACTTTATTCTTGAACAGATGGCGCTGTATTAAGCAGTATATAAAAAGTGTTTCTGTTGCTCATGAAAACGTTTCTGAAATGTCTGTGTATTTGACAAATATTACATTTTATTAACTTCATCTGTGATAGAGTATGCAAACACCGCTTGAGCGTCACTAACGGGAGCAGAAAGTGTCCGGCTTGACGTGTCCGTTTTCAACTCCGCCCCTGACTGCAAGCGGCTACTCTCGTTGATCGCCGTCTGTAGCCGTGCTTCAAGTCGAACGCACCTATTGGTTGTCTTAGTCATGTGTCCTGTCTCTCATTGGTTGGTTCTTGTCATGTGACCTATATTGTTTGCTATAAGTAGCCATCATGTTTCCATTGTCTCTCGTTGTGTATTGATGTTCTAACCTGCTGTCAGTGAGTCTAGTCTGTTCATGCCGAATCAAGTCTGTTCACGTCAAGTCTGTTCATGCCAAGTCAAGTCTGTTCAAGTCAAGTCCGTTCAAGTCATGTCAAGTCTCTGTTTGGATTATGTTTGTATTTTGGATTACTTTTTGAATAAACTGCACATGGGTTCTTAAACTCGCCTACAGTGGACTGATGGTTACAATAATACATTTGAATACATGGCTCTATTAAAAAAATGAATAATAATCAAAACAGTAGATGTTCTGTGATTGTAAACTTACATCCAAATTTATTTTTACACTTAAATCGTTACTGTCCTGCACTTCACTGCAATGTAAACTTATTTGCTCCACCAAGGGTATAGTTTTTGGTGCAGATACAACGTAATTTAAAAATAATAAACTACCAATATTTCTCCTGTAGGTGTAGGCATGTGTAGGTTGACTAATTAATGCCTACACAGAAGAAAGCCCTGTCTATGTGCTGCCTCAGTGCAGTTTGTGTCAAGCCATTCCTCAGTCTAGTTATTAGATGAGAAAGAGATTAAATGTAGTTGCAGTAATCACTTTAGAATCCATACAACTGTAGCAGTGGGTGACTATTAATGCTGCTGCGCAGAACTGAGAAATAACTTATCATGGCACAGGTTTTTATACCCCTAAATGTAAAAATGAAAAATCAAGCTGAATTCTTTTTTTTTTTTTTTTGGGAGAAAAAAAAGTTGAAAAGTGTGTTTTCTTATTGTTCTGCTTTCAGTATTGAATAAAAAAAAAAAAAAACCTTATTAACACAATGTACATGGACCCCAATAGCATACGTAAGATGTATGAGTGTTGCTTCTTTTCTCAAATGAATCACTGATCATTTTGCAACCTTTTCACAAGCAACCCTGTGAGTACATGATAATACAGGGCTTCATGTTTTCATCTCCTCACAAGTGGTCTGGACACTTCATGCTACATTAATGAAGCACCAATTATTCAAGGTACTGAGCTAGCCTGCCCTTCCAAGCACATGACATTCCTGAGTGCCAGAACTAATCAGTGCGACATAATTAGCATTCTCAATAAACATCACACTCTTTTTCAGAAAGAGAGAATGCCACACATTCATTCTTTCACCTCTTTGACCCCTCTGGAATTGTTGGGTTCACCCTGATTCTGTTAGGCTGTGTAATTATCCTTGGGTCACTGTTCCTGTTTCCCCCGTGGAGGCTCAGTGGTCTTGGGTTTAGCTGTGCCCTGTGATGCTGCATCAGCAGAGCTTCTAATTATTTATTTTATTTATTTATTTATTTAGTCATTTAGCAGACGCTTTTATCCAAAGCGACTTACAAATGAGGACAATAAAAGCAGTCAAAACTAACAAAAGAGCAACAATATATAAGTGCAAATGACAAGTCTCGGTTAGCCTAACGCAGTACACGTAGCAAGGTGTATATATATATATATATTATACACACACACACATACATATACACACACACGCACAAAGAAAAACAAGTAGATAGAATAGGAAAAAAAAATAGAAAGCTAGTGTTAGTTGATTTTTTTTTAAATAAAAAATAATATAAATAGATATAGTAGAATTAAAATAGAATAGAAAGTGCTAGAGTTAGAGGGTCAAATAAAGGTGGAACAGGTGTGTTTTTAGTCGTTTCTTGAAGATGGTTAAGGACTCAGCTGCTCGGATTGATTTGGGCAGGTCATTCCACCAGGAGGGAACAGTTAGTGAAAAAGTCTGTGAAAGTGATTTTGTGCCTCTTTGAGACGGCACAATAATGCCTCGTTCACTTGCAGAACGCAAGCTTCTAGAGGGCACATAACTCTGAAGTAATGAATTTGGGTAAATGGGTGCAGAGCCAGTGGTGGTTTTGTAGGCAAACAGTAGCCTTGAATTTAATGCGAGCAGCTACTTGGTAGCCAGTGCAAATTGATGAACAGAGGTGTGACATGCGTTCTTTTCGGTTCATTAAAGATTAATCTTGCAGCGGCATTTTGGATTTGTTGTAGAGGTTTGATAGAAGTGGCTGGAAGACCTGCCAAGAGAGCATTGCAATAGTCCAGCCTGGATAGAACAAGAGCTTGAACAAGGAGTTGTGTTGCATGTTCTGAAAGAAAGGGCCTGATCTTCTAATTACCTGCTTACCTATACACTGATTAAACACTGACAATTAATTATTCATGTCCTAATCCTTCTGTGTGTGAGAGAGAAAGAGGGGGACAACTGCCAGTGTTTTCTTTTATTATTTATTTATTTATATGCCATAAGACATTTTTTTCCCTCATTATTAATTAGCTCCTGGGAGCACAGTCCTGTTGAAGGCATAAAAAAGTCCTTTTAATGACCAAGTTCGGCTTTGCTCTTTGCACACCAAAACCAAACCTTTTATCCAGTTTCTCTAGCCCTGTAAAAAAAGAGAGATGCTTGAGACATTTCAGTCCTTTATCTGTCTAATTACAGGGGAACACAGGACTCACACTTGGCCCTAGCAATCCCATAGCCCAGGTTTTACATTCATTACTGTTCGCTGTACTATCAAACATTATGGTGATATAATGTTTAATACTGTGGCAGACTTGAGGACTGCAAGATAGCATCCCCAGTAATTGTCCCTCTTTGTAACTAAGTGTGCTTCATGTTTACCGGTTCCTCAACATGGCAATAGAGCTTCATTTCCACAGCAACAACTGGTGCAGTCCTCAAATGGAGACAAACATATGTGGCCTCATCACCATGACGATATTGGGAAAATAACAAGGACAACAAAAATTGGATAGCCCGTTTATCTAATCAGGGAGGAAGTCTCCAGCAGGATCTCATTTGTGCAGTGCTAAAATGGTTCAGAGCAGAGTGATAAAGCCCAGGTCTCCAAGCTAAGCCAAATAACAGCATCATTGAGGGAGCCATTGCTCCCTTTACATAAGCTTGTATGGATTCATTTTAGAATTTCAAGTCCTGTTCTTCTTTCTTTCTTGTTTTTTAGTGATATAACCCTCTATTTATGTTATTATAAATTGACTTGGTGATACTGTATGTTATTTTATTTTGTGTGTTGATCTCTCACCAAGTAATCAAAGTGACAAATCATCAATTTGCATAAACCTCTCATAATTTTCAGGCGTCTCCAACTAGATACAACAAGATGCCTCAGTAATACACTTACTGACAAGCCACAGTGTTCCATTGTAAACTTATTTGTCAGGATTTTCTCGAGAGATTTTAGCATCCCCTCTCTTCTGGTATCCCTTAGCTTTCCATATTATGCAAGCAGGAACCCATTAGCTGACTAAAATTCACATCTGATTATATACTAAATGCTCTACAGCATCCCATAACAGATTGAGACAGATGAAAATGTTAAAGTTAGATTTGAAGACAGTCTGGTTTTGGTCAGTGAAGATGATTTTGGCGAGTCATCCCACTTTTGCCTGAAGTTTATTTCCAGAGACGCACACTGCATATTACATAAAATAAATTAATGGATTGTGGAAGCAGACCATATTTAAAAGTTATGCTAAGAGAATTTTTAAGCATACTAATTCATTTTCCATAGAGGGGAATGGCACATGCCAATTTAAATAAACGCAATTGAAAAAGGCCTTTCCAGTGACTACAAATTAGATGAGGGACAAATAATTTAATTACCCAATAGATCCACTGAGAAATGAATGTGATTTAAAATACATATACCATCTTTAATCTGATGAAATGAGTGTACACATTTCCGAAGAAATATCTGAAACATCAGATGACTTACCAGCTGTCTGGCCATTGAGTTCAGGTCACCATCTATATCTAAAACCCACATATGCATTAGAGAGAGCAAGAGTGAGAGAGAGAGAAGCAGTGTGTTGAGCATGTTAGTGATTCAAGGAGACACACATGGGCATAACACATACCATGTAGTCTTCAAATAAGCCTGAAGGCCTTTTCCATGGCTTCTGCCAGTGGTTGGTCTGGAACCTAGGTCGGTTGCCATGGTGACTGCTCTGTCCTCTGCTGGCTAGTGGCTCACTGTAGAAGGGCCTTGCATTGTGGCAATGCTGGGTGCCTTCTGGTGCCCGCTTTGGATTCTGGGTTGTGAAGTTCAGAATCGGTGGGGTCTTGCAAACACCTTTGGTGGAGGCCTTGTGCTTGTTAAAGGCCTTCTGTGTCAGGTCATGCAGTTGTTGAATAGGCATTGTGTGGCAGGCCATAATGCCTAAATGGTGACTTACAATAGGATAGAGGTTTTGGAGGAAAAGGCTCTTGAAGCTGGTGTCCTCCTCCATCCCAGGTTCATTGCGAGCTCCGAAGTAAGTTCGTCGAAGTCTGTGGTAGTAAGCATGTGGAGTTTCATACTGGCCCTGTTTGGTGGCTAGGGCAGCGATCAGTCCGTGTTCAGACTCTGGGTTTGAGAATTCCTTTATGATGGCTTGTTTAAGCTGCTGGTAGTTCGATTGGATGTGTCCTGGCTGACGAGCCAGGAAGTGCTGCACCTCTGGGCTAGAGGTGATCCAGAGCAGATAGAGTCTATCTTGGTGGTTCACACTGGTCCAAGACTGCAGGTGAAAGTCAATATCTTGCATGTAAGCATGGACATCATGGTCTCCTGTGAGTTCTGGTGTGAATGTTTCTGGTGTTTCTGGCCATTCGGTTGAGGTCTTTGAGTGTCACTCCATGTGTAATTTCAGAGTTTGTCTGAATTGATCCTTTTCCTTCTGCGGCTGCAGAGGTTTTCAGGAAACTGACTTGTGAAGTGTCAAGCAGAAGGTTTTGGCTCCCCGCTTTGTATCTGTACAGGGGTGAGGGGGTTTGCACTGCTGGCAGTGTGACATGAAGCAGGGTGACTTTTACTTAAGTCCATGCGCAGTCTGTAGGACTGTTTCAGTTCTTTCTGAACCCTGTCAAGCTCCTCTTTAATGTTGCAGAATTGCTGAGTCAGGGTTTGGACTTCAACTCTGGCTGCATGCAGATGGCCTTCTAAGGCCTTAGGTCTAGTGTCTCTCTCATTAAGTTCCACATATGCTGTTTTTAACAGTGACTTTGTGTGAAACAGTTCTCTTTCCAAGTCCTGTCTGATGGCTTTTTCCAGCTGCGCTCGGTGTCCAGCAGCTGTTAGGGCCTCCTGAAGACTGGTGATTTCCTTCTGTTGAGCTATTCTGAAAGGTTCTTTGCATCTGTTCTGTGCTTTCTCTCGTTGAGCAGGTGACAGTTCTCTGCAGAACTCTGTGACTTGCAGTTTCAGCTCATTTACCTCCTGTCTGAGGCCCTTGAGGGTGTGGGCC